CAGCTCGTGTGCACAGTGGGTGTGCAGGGGGAAGGGGGCACACTGATTGTAGGGCAATGCTAGCAGAGCTAAGTAGCCTTGGGCTGTCACTGCATTTCTGCCACCAGTGGTCACTGTGAGATGCTGTGCACCCAGCCATGCGCCCAGTCCAGCCCAGCCCAAAAAAACCCCTTTTCGTTTTTAATAAAATTTACCTTTTTTTAAGAACAGGATTGGATTTTTGGTGTCCTAAGAGGTTTGTGCATATGCTGTTTGGCTAGCTGGGGGCAACAGCTAATTTCCTTTGTTTTCTTTCTCAGCTCTTCCCCGGAGGGGGGCGGTGAAAGGGCTTGTGGGTACAATTCCCAAGTGCTCCTTCCTGGGTCCAAGGGGTTTTTTTGCATTTGGGTGGTGGCAGCGTTTCCCAAGCCAAGGTCAGAGAAAAGCTGTAACCTCGGGAGTTTAATACAAGCCTGGAGTGGCCAGAATTAACGGTTAGAGTCCTTGCGGGCCCCCACTTCCCGCCCTCGGAGTGACAGAGTGGGGATTGAGCCTTGACAACAACTGACTATCCCGGGAGTCCCTTTGTCCAGGCGTTGCTGTAGTAACCACGGCTTGGTCAGGCCACAGCAGGATGGCTGCAGGGATGCCCGGACTGCAGGCAGTTTGCAGGGGGTGGGGATGGGGCCTGTGCCCTGGGCCCCCATGGCCTCCTTTCCTGGGGTGGGGATGGGGTGTGTGTGCGAGGAGCTGACAGCGGCCTGTGTCTTCTTCACTCTATAGCAGCTGGTCGGGCGTACACCAGGCTGCGATGGAGTGATTTGGGCCTCACCTGTCAAACCAGCCGGCAGTGACCTGCCTCTGCCTGCTCGGTGAGGTGCCGTCGTGTCCCGCTGCCCACGGGACAAACCCTCTCTGCAGCTGACAGCCTGTCGGGGGGGCTGCCCTCACCACTCAAGCGCCTCCTGCTCCGGGCGCCAGCCGGGGTGCTGCTCTCGCTCGGCAGGTCATCAGCGGCTCGGGCTACCGGCTGGGTCACACACCAGCACGGCCCCCTGCCGGGGTAGCAAGAGTCCAACAAAACTCTTTGGCTGCCCCCCACTGGCATCTTCAGCCCCTGCGCCTGCCCTTTAAATTCAGCCCTTTTTGCAGGCTTCCAAGGAACTGGGTCTCCTTCTCAGGGCTCACACCACTTCACCAGTGGCTGGTGCAGGGACCCAGGCCTGCCACTGCTCCGGGCTCCAGCCCAGGGACGCTGCCCACAGCAGCCGAGCCCTCGCTGCAACCCTGGGCCTCTGCCACCCGGCCCCTTTCTCATCACCCCTTAGCTCAGGGCTAACGGTCTCAGCCTCTCCCCCCCCAGCAAACACAGCCGGAGCCGCGCGCTGCTTATCCCTCAAGCGCCTGCGGCCAGAGGGAGAGAGCGGGGAGGCGCACCGTCTCACCGGGCCCCGCCAGGCACTGATCTCCTAGGGCCCTGCAACGCCTTTTAGCGGAGCCTTCCCTGGGGCAGGGTGTGGTAGAGGACCCCGGGGCCAGGGACGCCCTGTCCCACAGCTCCTCCTGCCCCTGATTTCCAGAGCCCTCAGAGGAGGCTGATGTAAAATGCTCTCTAGTGCAACATGAACCTCTGGGCTTGCTGCAGCCCGCCCTGGGCGAGGCTTTCCAGCCCGTGATATGCAGGGGGTCAGAGTAGACCAGGGGTGGGCAAACTTTTTGGCCTGAGGGCGACATCGGGGTTGTGAAACTGTATGGAGGGCCGGGGAGGGAAGGCTGTGCCTCCCCAAAAAGCCTGGCCCCCGCCCCCAATCTGCCCCCTTCCACTTCCCGCCCCCTGACTGCCCCTCTCAGAACCCCCCACCCATCCAACCCCCCCTGCTTCTTGTCCCCTGACTGCTCTGACCCCTATCCACACCCCACCCCCTGACAGGCCCCCCGGGACCCCACCCCCTATCCAACCCCCTCTGCTCTCTGTCCCCTGCCGCCCCCCTGGAACCCCGTGCCCCTTATTCAACCCTCCCTCCCCCCAGCTCCCGTACCATGCTGCTCAGAGCAGCAGGAGCTCGCAGCCTCGCCGCCCAGCCGGAGCCAGCCATGCCGCCCGTGCTGCCCGGCAGGAGCGACAGGCCAGAGCGCTGGTGGCCCGGCGAGCTGAGGCTGCAGGGGAGAGGGAACAGCAGGGGAGGCGCCGGGACTAGCCTCCCAGGCCGGGAGCTCACGGGCCGGGCAGGATGGTCCCGTGGGCCAGATGTGGCCAGTGGGCCATAGTTTGCCCACCTCTGGACTAGACCATCACAGTGAGCTGTTCTGGCCTTTAAATCTATGAATGACCCTAGGTAATTAGGATCAGCATTCACTGGTAGATCCCGTCCCTCAGCCCCATTCTCCCCTTGCACCATCCCTTACGCCTGGAGGCAGTCAGCCAGCCAGCCTCACTGTATCCAGGTGTTTCAGAGCCATGCTTGAATTCAGCTAGTTAGTGTTTATAACACCAATGTTAAGGATGCAGGCCAGGCCATGTGCTCGCTCAAAGTGGCAGATATATCAGCAAATGGGGTGTGCTCTGTCTGGGCAAATGCTTGCAGAGCACCACACTGAGGAAGAGTGGGTTAGATGTGTTCATGCCAATAACATAGGATGAAGAGTTTCAGAGCAGCAGCCGTGTTAGTCTGTATTCGCAAAAAGAACAGGAGGACTTGGGGCACCTTAGAGACTAAAATTTATTGAGCATAAGCTTTCGTGAGCTACAGCTCACTTCATTGGATGCATTCAGTGGAAAATACAGTGGGGAGATTTATATACACAGAGAACATGAAACCATGGGTGTTTATCATACACACTGTAAGGAGAGTGCTCACTTAAGATGAGCTAATACCACCAGGAGAGCGTGGGGGGAAGGAGGGGGAGACCTTTTGTAGTGATAATCAAGGTGGGCCATTTCCAGTAGTTGACAAGAACGTCTGAGCAACAGTGGGGGGAGGGAGGGAAATAAATATGGGGAAATAGTTTTAATTTGCGTAATGACCCATCCACTCCCAGACTCAATTCAAGCCTAAGTTAATTGTATCCAGTTTGCAAATTAATTCCAATTCAGCAGTCTCTCGTTGGAGTCTGGTTTTGAAGTTCTTTTGTTGTAATACTGAAACTTATTACAATATTGTGGTAATATTGGATGAAGAGAGGCAGCTTTCGCAAAGTGTTCTGTCCAGATTTCCCGCTTGGGTTGCTAATATTGGCAGATCATGTGATGTGCACTTCCCCTCCCACTGTCCAGACATAGCTTTGGAAAGTATTACTTCCCCTTGGCAAATTGTATTTTTAAAACACCCACCTCTCGGCTTTCGTTGGGTGCAGCTGGCAAAGGTGTTCCCATCACCAGCCTCTTTGTTCTACAGGGACGTTTTTCATGAACATTTTCACTTTTTTAATCAACAATTTTCCTTTGCTCGTTTTCTGGTTTTGAAAGGAAAAAATTTCCAGAACGATTTTTTTAAAAAACGCCGATGTTTCCCTTTGTTTTGGGTGGTGAGGCCAAGGGGAGGGAAAGCCCACCCTGGGGGTGAACCAACCAAACGCTTCCTTATTTCAAAACTGGTCAACAGTCAATGAAATATTTCAATACAAATTGCCGATAAAAAAAATTTCACAAAGCACGTCAAATGCCAAAACTGAAACTAAATGGATTTTGACCTTTTCTGCATGATTTTTTTCCCTTTTGCTTTTTGACCAGCTGCTGCAAGACTCACTCTCACCCGGGGCACTGGATTTGGGAGCCTGAGAGCATTGTGCTCTCTCCCTTCTGCTGAGCTGCAGATTTCAAAACACTTTGGGCCAGGCTTTTAAAGGTATGTGGGTGCCTAAATACCTTTAAAAATCTTGCCCCTTATTATTAGCCCCATTAGGCCAATGGAGAAACTGAGGCACAGAGCAGTGATGTGATTTGCCCAAGGTGAGCCAGCAGGCCAATGGCAAAGCTGGGCTGGAACCCAGGTCACCCAAATCCCAGTACAACACTCTATCCAGTGAGCTACGCTGCCCTCCACACAGACAGCCCTGCCGTGGCTCCATCTAAAGAAACAGAGGGATTTGGGCCCACCCATGTGCATCACAGAAACTCCAGAGATTTTCCTTCTGTGCATGTGTTGGTGGGGAGGCGTGGTTGGGGGCATGCTGTCATTTGGCAGTGCCATATTGCTTGACTGGGTCTTGGGTGTCACCCTGCCCTTGGCTGGTATTCTCATGCTCTCTTCCTGTTCTCCAGAGGAACTAGTGGCTCTCCTCACTGTCACACCATGTACTTGGCTGGGTTTCAACCAGGGCTGGCTAATCAATAAAACCAGGAACCACGCTAAACCCAGGAACAGCCAGACAAACTAATGGGCGATCCAGATTTCATTCATATGCAAAACCCGACATTTGGAAGAGAACCAGCAGATCCACTGTTAGAGACAAGGCCTTTGCCCAGCAGGGGCAATTCCTTCAGGGAGAGTCAGGCATTGTGCGGCCCCACGGGATCATCATCATCATCATCTAGTCTGACCTTGGGTAGAGAGTGGGCAAGTGACTTTGCTGGGCATGACACCCATGGCTCCTGACCCTCACCTCAATGCCATTTTATTAGATCCTGTTTCATGTCCCCCATGCGGGGTAATAACAGGAGAGTTTCTGGTTTCTAAAAATCAAAACTGGCTCTTTCTTAACTGGGTGCTGAGTGGCTGCAATTGGCATTCCATCTTTCCTCGTGCACCCTGGGCTCCTCTCTCTGCCTTCCATGCAGGCAGCTACTCCGGAGACCTGGCTTCTCTTCCTGACCTTGAGCAAATCCCCTTTGTTTCTCTTCCTGTTCACACTGTGAATGCTTTGGGGCAGGGACCGGCTCAGAGAATTGCAGCTGGGTGAAAGATTATTGTGACAGTGTTTTCTCAGCGAAATGCAGCTCATTGAACAATCTGCACATTTACACCCAGAAAACTGGTATCCTTTGACACTGGCCAATGAAAACGCTTCAGTTCAAACCAAAAAATCTTTCATTCAGTTTAATTCAAATGAAAACAACACCTTGTCAGTGTTTGGGCCCCCCCACCTTTCCTCTCCCCTTCTTTGTGTTTTGGAGGGGCAGGAGCACAAAAAAGCCCCTAACCAAACACATTATGTTTTAATTCCAATGGAAACAAAACGTTGACAAAAAAAATCCATCACATTTTGAACTTGTTTCACAGAAAATAACGGCCATTTCCCCACTAACCCTGCCTGCACTGTGTTTGTATAGGGCCTAGTAGAACAGGGTGTGACTGTAACACAAATAACAGACATGGCATTGACAGGTCTTGTGCCTTGAGGACTTGCCTGGGAATGAACGTGACTCTTGCATACTCCCATGATTCTCCAGTGACGAGGGGGCAAGCTTGTGGGGAGGAAGGCAGCAGTGCCTGTGGGGGATGGGTGCTGAAGGGTGGCTCGGGAGGGGGAAGATGTTAGCATGACTCAGGTGGGGAGAGGAAGAAGAAAAGGGGGGTCTGAGAGGGCGGGAGGAGTGGGAGACAAGTCCAGGCCTTGTCCTGAGGCAGCAGCTGGGGGGAGCCCTGCTCCATCAGGGACATGCTCTTGGCAATGGAGGCAGAGAAAGGGAGGCAGGAGGAGTCAGAGACCTAGGTCAGGCTCATGGATATTCAGCCATGGGGCGGGCAAGTATTTCTGAGCTGTGCAGGACCTGGCCCAGGTGGGGCTCAGAGGCCCCAGGCCCTTTCCTCATGCACAGGTTTGCCCTGGCCGACGTTTTGAAATGTTGGCAGCCCTGCGGGGCGGCCTCGCTGCCACTTCCGGGGCACCCTGCTGCAGGGAGACCAGGGCAGGTTCAGGCAAAGCACTAAAACAGCCTGTGAGCCATTTAAACTCACAGCCCAAGGCCTCTGCAGCCACCAACAGCTAGACGCCCAGAGGAGTTTGAACTAAGCCCCTCACCAGGCAGAGCTGGAGCTGTTCCCCTGGAGGAGAGGGAGCTGCGAGGGGTGGGGGGAGGTCTCCTTTTAATTCCAAAAGGGGAGTTTTCAAGGGGGGTTGGTTGGTTGGTTGGTTTCAGCCCCCTCCTTGGCATGCGCTGGCTCCAAGCTGTCTTAGCACCAGAGCCCACTCCCATCTCAGTAACGCAGCCGAGGCTGGGGGTGACACGGCCCTGGAGGGGGACTGTGGAGACCTGGGCTCAATGGTCTACGCTGCTGCTGGGGGGCCTGGAGCAAAGCGCTTATGGGGAGTGCTCAGCCACTCCCACGGGGGGCAGGGGCTGCTCTTGCTCTCCCTGGAAGCTGAGCTCTTTTGAAAACCTGTCTCGGCCTCTCAGCACTATAACAACCTCGGGGTGTTCAGGGTCCGCCCCCCAATGGCTGCAGGTGTCAGGGAGGCCGGCTGGGCTCCAGCCCAGGTGTCACGCAGCCCGAGGTGCCGCAGCGCGGCGTGTTTAACATGCTGTTCTGGTCGCGGGAGGGGATTTGGCGGTGCTCCCGCGGGCTGCTTTGGCTGAGGGGCAGATGTGCACACAGAGGTGGATGCCGCAGCACCAGGTCTCAGGGGGTGGCGTGAGCTGTGTGGGGGAGGGGCCCTGGCACAGCTCTTGCTGGCAGTTCCAGCAGGCATGGGGCGGACAGCTGATGCTGGTAAGCATGGTCCCCACTTCACTGTCTGGTAGGCTGTCCAGCCCCTTCTCCGGTACCTGCCTGGGCTGCTTTCACCTGCAGCGAAGTGAACGTGCACAGCCCCACGGTGGACCCTCCCCTCTCAGCAGCTGGACAGCCGAAAGCTCAGAGGCCCTGTGCTCTCCTGGGGTTGTTCTCCCGGGGAACAGCCTGGTACCAACCCCAGCGAGCAGGAGTGTTGTGCAGAATGACCAATCTGGTGACTGTTTTCTCTGACTCTGTTTCCCCATCTCTAAAGGAGGCCCACTGGTCACATGGCTCCAGTGGCCAATGACACAAAGTCATCCCAGGTAGCTGCAGCCCAGCATCAGCACTGACAGTTCATTGAGGATTGTCGCCACCATTGTCTGTAGTCCAGGCTGGGACAATTCAGTGTCACACACTAGCAGCCGCCGCGGTCCGTCCCAGGGACTCTGCTCCTTGCTTTCACTGTCGGCTCTGGCTCACCGCTGGGCTTAGCTGTCTGGGAAGATGTAGCTGTACTGATTTAAGATGTGCTCCACTATCTGGTTCTGGAAGACCATGTGCATTGCCATGTTTACTTCCTCGGTCTCTGGTCTCAGGAGAGTGGGCCCAAACACAATCGCCACGCTTTGCACAGACATCCGGTTCTGCTCCTTGTAGTCGATCACGCTGGAGGGAGAAAGGACAGTCAGTCACTGGGAACTTCCAGGGGCGTCTCTCACGCTGACAGATGCTGCACCTACATGTTACTGACAGGAATGGGCTGACACCAGAACCATGCCTGGCGTGAATCCAGCACAGCATGGCCGTGCCAGGGGACCAGGGCTCAACAAGCAAAGGGAGGAACCCAGTGATCCCAGGGCTCATCCAAAGGTTTCCATCTAAACTGTTTTCTGGTGGGAAGTTGGGTTTTTGACTAAATGAATTTTTTCACAGGACATGTCTGCTTCCACAAGAAACTGAACACCTGAAAACCAAAATATTTCAATTCAAAAATTCTGCTGCGATGTCTCATGGGAGTTGTAGTTTAGTTGCCTCAAGACCCCATTCTCCTCCTGTGGCTGGGTGCCTCAGCCAGACTACAACTCCCATGATGCATCACAGCTGGGGACTCCCATGATGTACTGCCTCTCCTGTTCAAGAGGGCAGACCATGATGCGTTGTGGGAGATGTAGTCCAACCAGGGAGCTTGGCCTATAGATAGGGGTCTACCAAATTTGCAGCCATGAAAATCACATCACAAATGGTGAAATCTGGTCTTCCCTGGGAAATCTGGTCTTTTGTGTGCTTTGTACCCTATATTATAGGCCGCGTCACTGCCAGCAGCAGGTAGAAGTAAGGGTGGCTTGGTAGGCTATTGTCATCCTTACTTCTGAGCTGCCTTAAGAGCTGGGTGGCCAGAGAGCCTCGGCTGCTGGCTGGGCTCCCATCTCTGAAGGCAGCGTCGCCGCCAGCAGCACAGAAGTAAGGGTAGCAATACCGCGGCCCCCCTGAAACAGGCTTGCAGCCCCCTTTTGGTTCAGGACTCCCAGTTTGAGAAATGCTGCAGAGAAATCACATTTTTGAGCTGGTCACGGCATACATAGCAAATTTTGTGGACGTGTGACACATCTGCAAAATTTCCTATTTATGCCATGACAAACCTGCGAAAAATGTGTGATTTCTCCGTGATTTAAGTAGACCCCTACCCACAGAAGAGAACGGGAACATGAGACACCCAAATTATAACTCCATGAGGCACAAAATATTTTGGGTTTTGGACATAATTTTTTGCCATTCAAATTTTCACTGAAAAAGAAGAATATCAACATTTTCCACGGAACATTTCGTGACAACAATTGTTTTTTTGTTTTCGCTTGAAGTAAAATTCCCCCCTGCCCCCGCTTTCTACCCAACTCTGGTTGAGCATCCTGCAGTGGGAGGAGCTGTTAAAACTCAGCAGGGTGGGAGCGGTCTGCAGAGTCCCACAGGATATGGGTGCTCCAAACACAACAATCGAGCTGAGGAAGAACCCTGCAAGGGGCATGGCCAGGGGAGTTTTGAATGATCTTCCAGGAGCCAAGGTTAAGACCAGGGGTGAAAATCACCACCCTCCCTTGAGGAGACTAGCAGGGAAAGGCATGTGAGTACAAAGGAAGCCAGCAGTAGCTTAATTTCCTTCTCCCCTTCCAAGGTCCTGCCACTAGATTTGGCTCTCTCACAGACTGCACTGTGCCCTGGAAGATCTGCCCCTATATACCTGCCAAGGGTAGCACCAGGCCCCTGTGGCCGTCAGCACTGTGTGGCCTTCTCTCCCCTACTCCAGTCCAGCACCATGGTACAGGGTGGCACGGGCTGGTAGGAGCACCTCATAACATTGCTGATGAGAGTCAAGGGAAAGGAAGTGGCACAGACGGACAGGATTAGTGCTCAGGCAGGAGCAGTGAACTCTGGCCTCCCTTGCTCCTGATGGCCGTGTTCAGACGTAGAGGAGAATTACACGAATGGCTGGGGACCGTGCAGATCAGAGCACAAAGATCCGTGCACATGGGGAGGCCTGGGTACCGGGCAAGCACTCACCAGCAGAGGTGGTGGAAGAGAGCCTTCATGGTGTCGTGGTTGGCCTCAGGCAGGGAACACACCAGGTCCCGGATGTACTTGCTGCGCTTCGCCTGGTCGTGTGTTTCTACAACGAGATGGAACACCAGGTCATTCCACCTTGGCAGAGAGCGCGTGGGTGGGAGGCCCTGGACTAGGACTCAGGAGATCTGGGCTCTGGCCTGGCTCTGCCACCAACTGGCCACGTGACCTCCAGCGAGATGTGGGGCTGGTGCAAGTTGTCCAGCATTGCCTTGGCATTGCTGGAGCTATAGCGATTCCCCCTGGGCGAGGACCTGCCCCACGTGATTTGCCCAGCGCTAACCCAGGGACCCACCACCGCTCAGAGTTACAAGGGTAAATCCACCCGAGCCTTCCTGTGCTCAGATACTCGGGGGGTGGGACCGTCTGACAAGTAACTAGATACAGAAATCACATCTTCCCCCAAGTTGGCTGGCGCTATATCCTGGTCCAAGACAGCCTGTGGGCCAGAAATCATTTCTCTCTGGTGTGGCTCTCGGTTTGCCCTGCAGCCCATGAAAGGCTGTGACTGTCCCAAGATGCTCCCATAAACCGCAATTCAAACCTTGCCTGGATTCTCAGCCCACTGCTCTGGGACCAGGCCCAGAACACAAGCTGGGTCTGTTGGCCCACGTCCAAACCAGCCAGGCCTACCTCTCTGGCCTTGTACCTCAAACAGAGACTGCGGAGGGGTTTAACCTTCCATGTGTTTCTCATGCATCCTCTTCAACAAATCACAGCTTGGCTGTGAAAGCAGAGCTGGTTGGATGGCTCCATAATATGGAGCCATTTTCAGAATGGCACCAGACTCTAAACAAGTGTCCAGAACGGCGGTCTATGCTGAGTGGGCCCCAGCATTCTCATTCGAAACCCATGATGTCTTAGCATGCGTCTGCACGAGGCCGGTGTAATTCCCTGCCCAGCTCAGGTACACACACACACGCGCTGAAAAGAGCCAGTTCGCCGTGCTGGCTCATGCTAGCTGCCCATGTACGTACCCAGTGGGGATTGCTAGCCCGAGCTGCCACTCATGCCTCTGTCCATGCTGCTAGCTCTCGGAGAGCTAGTGCGTGTCTATCTACCCACACTGGATATCGCACCTCCCAGTCACAGCATAGCTGTGCCCTTCATGATAATAGGAGAGATCCCTTCAGAGTCTGCTCTTATGTCTTGGCTGGGGAGATGGGGCCAGGCTTTGGGGCTGAATTGCGGCGTGAAGGGGCTCGGGAAATCCAAATGAGCATGGTCCTGCTGGGGAGAGGAGTGGCCGCCACCCACACTGCAGGCGTCAGACAGGGCTGTGGCTTCTCTCGTCCCTTACTTATCGCAGTGATGAATTTGTCAAAGTAGCTGAATGGGAAGAGCGGCTCTGGCAGCTCCCGAAAGAAGAGCTTCAAAGCCCCTGTGATGACGTGGACATCCTCCCACCGGCCGTCATCCAGGTCCAGATGTTCATCTGCAGGAAGGAGGAAGGTAGATTAGCCACTACTCTGATACTGGGCTGGGAGGGGCTTGCTCCATGCCATGTACGGATCGGTGTCAAGTCAGGCAGTCCTGGGCTCTGATCACATTGAAGTGAAGCGTCTGCACACGTGTGTGCAAGCTCAGGGCACAGAGGTGAGCGTGCTCTTCGGTAGTCCAAAGGGGGACGGAAGTGTCAGATACATATTTCTACCAGTGAGGGGATTAGCCATTGGAACAAGCTACTGAAGGAAGGGGGAAGAGTCTCCGGTTCTTGAAGTCTGCAGCTCCAGACTGGAGCCTTTTGGGAAGATGCTTTAGCCACACACAAGTTACTGGGCTCAACGTGGGGTGACGGGGCAAGGGTCTCTGGCCCGTGCTAGGCGGGGGTCAGCCTGGATGAACCAGTGGCCCCTTTTGGCCTTAATCTTGTGAATCAAACCAGAAGTAGAATGCTGGCCCTCTCTGGTGAAGCTCAGTTTCTGGAAGTTGTCTCTGCATCACTTGAGACCTCGCAGAGTTTAACAGAGGAGGATTAAATGTACAATTTACTACCTGCAGTCCCGTCAGCTCTCAGATGAAGCCAGGCTGGGTCTGCTCAGCACTTGGACAGGAGATCTCTAGAGAAACTGCAGGGGATGTTGGTGACCCAGCAGCAGACCGACCTCCCTCGGAGGGTGCGTCTACACTGCGTCGGAGGTGCTGTTGCCACCTGGGTAAACGTGCGCACTCCAGCTTTACCTGCTCTGGCACAGCTGAAAACAGCAGTGTGACCCTGACGGCACAGGCTTCAGCAGAGACTAGCAATGTGAGTCCGTACGTAGGGTCCCCTGTCCGCTTAGACAGCCTGTGCCACCGTATCAACATGGCGGTACTTAGCTGTGCGAGCGCAGTTACGTCTACCAACGTTGCACTCACACCTGGGACTGCCGTGTAGACACACCCTGAGCCGGTAAGGTCCTAGTATCAGTGTGTGCAAAGGGTGCGGAGCTGCGGGAGTGCTATGCTTTTCAAGTGAGATATAAAACCAATCTTCCCACCACGTGTTAGCCTCACAGCTTTTTCGGTAGGAGGAAGAGAGTGAACAGGGATCGCTAACTCCTGTAATCACACTGTCTCTTTAAATTCCTCCCGGAGTTTCCATTGGATAATTTCTTCTTCACTTCCTGCCCCTAAACTGTTGGGCAGTAGTAAAACTAAGCAAGTGACCCCAGAGGTGGCTGCAATTCAATGATAATTTGCCCACAACACTTAAGCTATCTAAAAAGTGCCTCATTCTGTGTTTGTACAGCACCTAGCGCAGTCAGGTCCTGATGTTCTGGGCGCTGCTGTAATCCACGGGGGACGACCTCCGGATGAACAGGGCTAGGGAAATGCTATTGCTACCATCACTGCTGCAATACTCTTGACACAGATTTTTACCCCAATTCTTACAAACCCAACTGAAGGAGGGTCCCGCTGGTTCCACAGTGCTCGTGGGGTGCGTCTGCCTCTGCTAAGAGACAGCTAAGGGACCACCTCCCTCCCCCTCAAATGATAACCCTTGGGCATTTAAGAGGGAGGGAAGAGAAAAGGGGACAGAGCAGGAACAAGCTGCTTCTCTCATATTAGTCTGGCCAAATCCTTTAGTACCAGTGGGCAGGAACTGCTGCAAGATCACTAACAGCCCCCAGTGGAGACTGGCTCACTTAGGGCCTCACTTTGTGGGTTAGAACAAAACACAGGCTTTGAGGTGTGAGGCCCAGAATCTATCCCACAGTCTACTTGGCATTTCTTACAACCAACAGAGACTCATCGGGCAAAATCCTGCCCCCACTGAAGTCAATGACAAAACTCCCATTGGCTTTAATGGGCACAGGATCTCAGTCACAGATTTTAAGACTAGAAGGGACCACAAAGATCTAGTCTGATCTCCTGTGTAACACGATCAGAAAACCTCAGAGATTCCTGCATTGAGCCTGTTAACTTCTCGTTGAGAGAGAGAGAGAGAGACACTCCAACCCCCAACACTCCAACCCCATCACACCCTTAGGGCGGTTGTTCCAATGGTTATTTACCTTTGCTGTTAACAATGGGCACCCAATTTCCAGTTTGGGTTTTCTAGCTTAAGCTTCCACCCACTGAGCCTTGCTATACTTTTGTCTGCAGGATTAAAGAGCCCTTGGCTCTCAGAAACCTTCAGTCCTTTCGGGAGAAGCTCAATGTGCAGAGCTCTTCTAAAATGGGACCATGTCTTGTGGTGTCTCAATGGGAGCCGGCCCTTGGAGGTTGGGAGTAAAATAGCCCCTCTTAGCCTTCTCTTTCGGAAGCTAGGTAGAGAGGCTGAAGGAGCTCGCTCTCCAGGAGGCAGGTTTTCCAGAGTTTGAATCTAGAGCCATTAAAACTCGGAATTTCTGTTTTGTGGGAAATTCTGACACTTTTTAAGTTAATTCCAACCTGGAATGAAAACTTGAATTTTCAGAGTTTCCATGGAAGGTAAATGAACATTTTCATTTTGGAAAAAGTGAACTGGAAGAGAGATCTCCAGGGACTCTCCTGTTTCACTGGAAAACTCCCAAACGGCTGCTCTTGAATGATCCTTGGAACTCTTCTCTGAACTGTCTCCAATTTTTCAACATCCTTTTTACCATGGGGACACACTAGTCGGGTGACAAATGACTGACAGGCTCTCAAAGCATTACTAGGTTACCTGATCCTGTATTTTCTCATCTTTCTAAATTAGAAAGAGATTTTAAAAAGTCGAAGGCATGTTTATTTAAAGACATTAGAGGGTAAAAAAGCTACAGCTAACCCACTGAAAGCAGGCCTACCGTGGTCCACTTTGTAGCGCAGTTTCTGTATAGTTGCCAGATTTCCACTTATTCGATAAAGTCCATCAATGTCCAAACCTATTAGACCAGGGACCAAAACGACCCATTAGTCACCCTGCAGCTGGACAATGGGAATATGCCAACAAGGAGCTGGAGAGATGTTGCAACAGAGATTCACACATAAAGCAAGCCCAGTGTGAAGAGAGCCTCATGCTCCATAGGCGCTAGGAGGGCCAGCATTCTCAAAAGATGTGACAGATTTGCACAAGCGCTCAGCGGACTGGGTGCTGATACCTAGTGCTGCATTCCAGGGGTGCTTAGCACCCAAACTGCTTGGGAAACCTGGCCCAGGCTGCAGGGGCTAAGCACTTGGAAGTCTGGCCCCAAGCTCTTTTGGGCCTCTGCCCTGTTCCTTACAAAGTAGGATGCAGTGGGGTACTTGAGCAGTAGGGGCCCTCCATGCCCCAGACATGGCTCACACTTGCAGCCTGCCTTGGGGGAGGGAGCAATGCATTGGGATGCAGCAGGGTAGGTCCAGGTCTGCAGCGGCGGCGGCAGAAACCGAGAGGGGAACAGGGCCATGCAGATTCGAAAGAGAGTCGAGAAAAGTGGTTTAGAAACTTCTGTGCTACTTTCTGTTCTGTTTCTCCTCGGGACTACTTTTTACGGTGGGAGGGTACGTGCAGACACATCTCAACAGCTTGCTTTACAAACCCAGACTGAACCATGCCTCGAGATGAAGAATTCAGGAGCCAGATGCTAATAGCAATTAGCTGCTCCATTAGTCGGTTTGTGCGATGCTTCTTGGGAAGCTAAACCCCCTGAGCCTGCAGCCCCTTCTCGTAGCCCATGTGGGCCTGGGGACACCAGCTAACGCTGGGAGGGACTGCAGTACCAGAGATGGTGCAGCCAGGGCTGGTTACTCAGCACAGAAGGGGCTGCTCTCCCCCGAGGGCTGGGAGCCCTGGAGCATGGAAGGGGCTGGCTAGGGGCTCTCTTGGCCCCCTGCTCTTTACTGGAAGGTACCTCTTTGTTCCACCGTCTGGATGCACTGCTGCACAAACCCCGGTACCGTGCCATGCTCCCGCTCGCACAGCGCTTGCAAGGAGCAGCCAAACACTTGGTCTGAAAAACAAACCAACAAACCCAGATATTTAGGCAGTTAACTCGGGGCTCTGCTAGGGGATCAGGATGATTCGCTTCCTGGATCACTGGTTTGGGAACCCCCCCAAACAGCCGTGCTGGGGGATGAGCTTTGCTTGTGGCTGCAAATTTTGGGTTTTAGGAAGAAGGGTTTGTTCTCCTCGCAAGCACCCGCTCCCCAAAAAGCCCTGCCCAGCCTGTACCTTTAATGTACCCTCGCTCCCGCAGGAACTGCAGAGGGGGCCGTTTCTGGAGGAGCTTTCGCAACTTGTTCCGAACTTTGCTGGTGTCGCTCTCGGAGCCCAGGCTACTGACCGCCGGCCCGGAGGCTGCGGGAGACAAGGGAGAGCGTTTCACCGCGAGACCCGGAGAGGCCCCTGCAGGGAAGAGTCAGGCATGGTTCTGGGCAAAGACAAGGAGCCTCCCCCTGCAGCCCCTAAACGGGCTGCAGACAGGATGCAACACAGCTAAATGAAGGCGCGTTTCCCCTCCACTCCCAGCCACCCTGGCTTAGGGACCACCTTTCCCTGGAGCTCACCGCGCTGACTCCCCAGGCAGGGAGAGCTGGGGTCTGGCTGAGAGTTTCTGGGCAGCGGGTGGAGCAGCAGGGGAAGAAGAGGGTGTCCCCTATTTCCTGCTCTCCCCTGGGGGAAGCCTGATCCCTTGTGGCAAGGGCCTAGGAGCAGGGGACTTCACGGCCGCACGGCCTGGCTTTGTGGCGTCTGCACAGCACCTCTCTACTGAAGTGACCCCATTTCTGAATGCAGGAGATTGTGGCAGGGATCTTGGAGCCCTTCAGGACGAACACCCAGGCCCTGCTACATGAGCTTGTTCCTGCCTCGGATGCTAATCTGGCCCTTGTCACTTGGGGATCTGAATCCCATGAGCAGGGGTGGGTGCCCAGGGGCGTGGCTTCTCTCTCTGCTCACCTGCCTGCTGGGGGAGAGAAACTCCTGGCAAATGGACTCGTCCTTCACCCCCCATTCGCTGCTTCTTGTGGCCTCCCCCCACCCCTACTAGCGCCATCCTTCTGCATCGCCACCCCACGGCCACCACAGCTGACCAGCTCCCGGGGGACGACTTTAGCCACCCCAATATTTGCCTTAGCCCTCCCCATAGGCCCCCTCCCAGCACAAAGGCCAAACATTACACAGAAGTAAGAGTGGCATGGTATGGCATTGCCATCCTTACTTCTGCAGTTCTGTGCAGCCCCCCCAGTTTTCTGTCTAGTCCACCTCAACTGGCTCCAGCCCCTGCCAGCTCCCCCCTCTGGTCTCAGTCTGCCTGGGTGACCAGCTGCACTGCCCCTCTTTGCTTTATACCAGAAAGAAAATTCCATGCTAGAGAGAGTCCTGTTGGGGGGATGTTACCACCCCAAGACTGATGCTGCCAGGTGCCCAGTGTCACTGCTCGTTGTCCCCCAGCTTCTCCAGCACCATTCCTGTTTACTGAACCCCATCCTAGTCCCCCTCCCACGACAGGACGAGCCAAAGAGCCAGACGTGACCTGGCCTTGAGCACACCAGCCAGGGGCAGGTGGGGGACCCACAGGGGTGGCTCTACCAATTTTGCCGCCCCAAGCAGTCGCCGCCGAGGGACATGGACTCTGAATGCCGCCCCAAGCACCGGCTTGGAAAGCTGGTGCCTGGAGCCAGCCGTGGGGACCCAGCTCGCATTCATGTTGCCATCTGTGCCCTTCAGCCAGCTTGCCCTGCAATGCAGCGTGGGGCACGCAATGGGGCCGATGCTGCAGCCTGCTTTGGCAGCACATCCGGGCTGTACGCAAGCCTCCAAGGCAAGGGGAGAATTTCCCTGAGTTACAACCACCCTACACTACCCCACTGCAAGGCCTGGGCAAGTGGGGGTTGGGAACAGCCATAGAACTTGGGGTTTCTGAGATCAGGGGCTGCAGAGCCACCCCACGAAGGCTGCTGTATGTAGAGGCTGCTCTCACTTGCCCAAGGAGCCGTTTGGCCCAGGCTCCAGGTGGTGAGCACTCCCTTAGCCTTCTGGGCTGTCTCCCAGCACAGAACTGGGCCCTCCGCCTTCGCTGTACGCTACTAGGGTATCCACACTGCTGCTCAGCTGCACCATACCAAGGGACGTTGGGTCGTTAACACAGCTCTGCCTGGACAACGAGCTCGGTGGCAGCACGACCAGCAGCTCCCAGGCAGGCTGGGCCTGGAGGCTGAACCAGAGCGGGCCCCCAGGCTGTTCCCAAGCAGGCTTCCCCGCTCAGATTTCACCCACTCACCTGGATTCTTTTTATCTTCATCTTTGTTGTTTCCTAGTCTCTCCTTGGCTCCAAATTCCCCAACATTTCCGTTCTCGTCATGAGTAGGAAATTCTGTTGACTGAGGGAGACATGGCATCAGATTGCTTTTGTCCCATCAAGGCCCCGAAGGAGCTCTGAGGCATGTAGCTCAGGGCAGGAGGTGCGGTGCTTTCCCGGAGCCTGCTAGACACGGCTGGGTAGGTTGGGAGGGAGACAGTGGATAATGCAAAATCCCACCCCCACCCCACAAATGATGGGCCACAAATCAGTCTGGACACAACAGATACTTGGACTGTCAGCTCTTTGGGGCAGGGACGGGCTTTTGTCCTGTGTTTGTACAGCACCTGGCACGCTGGGGTCCTGGGCCTTGGGGCTACTGCAGTGCCAAGAATGTGACAGCAGCAGGAGCCAACCTGAAACTGCTCCAAATTCCAATTTTTTTGAAGTTGGGATAAGAAAGAAACCAATCCTGCCATGCTGATCTCCCAGGGGGACAGCGGCTGGCAGGGTGTTTCTAGCTGCCAAAGTACTGTAAATCTCGTGAGAAAGCCGATCCTTGCCTGACTGACAGTCCCAAGGTGGCGATGCCAGATCCTAAAGACAAAACCTGGTTGCTGCTTCAGGAGGGGACAGAGCTGAGCAGGAGATGGGCAGGGAAGGGAAAGGGAGGCTGAGCAGAGAGCTGGGCCAGAGAAGGGGGGTCAGGGTGAGGCCAGTGTCAATGCTGAGGATGGGGGCATGGTGCGTAACCCACCTATCTGGGTCTCTGTGCCCATCTGGGGCTGGACTGTGTAAAAGGTCTTCTGAACAAAGGGGCCTGATCCTGGACTCTAGCCCAGAGCTCCTGCTGGTTGGCCCGGAGGTCCCGAGTTCAGGCCCCCCCCCAGGGCCAGCACCTCAGGAAAGCTCTAACAAAATGCCCAGAGAAGCCCCTCTCACCAGCTTGCTGATGCTGTCAGCGATCACCTTCTGCCACGTGGCCACAATGGGCTCAGAGTCGTGCTGGATCAAGAACTCAGAACCATCGTGAGTCTTCAGCTGAAAGAAGCAGGGTGGGAGTTATTGGGGTGAAACAGGTGCCATGCAGCCCCCAGGGCGAGCGGCCAAAGGGGAACTGACCCCACACCAGCTCCCAATGTGACAGCCCTCCAGAGGGTCCATACGGGAAGAAGGGCAGTTTATTTCTGTGACGAAGTGGGACTGTTCTTAATGTTTCCTCTGAATAGTGTGGGAGGTGCCTCAGTTTCCCCTATGCAGTTCTTAAGTATCTAGGTGGTGGGGTAAGGGTGTATGATCATTGCAGAGCCCTAGAGGGCAGGTGTGTGCAGGGGTCTGGACACAGAGAATGGCCGACACCCTGTTTCCTGGCAACTGATGGCCTGGGCCCTTCCCCCTGCAAGGTGAGAGCTAAAGGGTTGGAGAACAAAGGAATCAGGTGACCTCCTGGCCCGGGAAAGGAGAAAAGCCCAGGGGAGGAGGGGCTAGAGGGAGTTTCAGTTTTGGGCTGGCTGGGACATGGAGTGAAGGGCAGATGTGGTTGTCTGGCTCACTGCCCCCCAAAATGGACCCAGCTGAGGGGTTCTGTTCTCTGCAAGCTCTGTTTTAGACCATGTTCCTGTTGTCTAATAAACCTTCTGTTGTACTGGCTGGCTGAGAGTCACGTCTGACTGCGAAGTTGGGGGGCAGGACCCTCTGGCTTCCCCAGGAGCCCCGCCTGAGCGGACTCGCTGGGGGAAGCGCACGGAGGGGCAGAGGATGCTGAATGCTCCGAGGTCAGACCCAGGAAGGTGGAAGCTGTGTGAGCTGCGTGTCCTGAAGACAGGCTGCTCACAGAAAGGCGACTGCCCCAGAGTCCTGACTGGCTTCATGGGGAGCAGTTCCAGAGTGTTGCCCGGGGACTCCGTGACACTTTCCATGGCACAACAGCGATCAGGCACCAGTGGGCTGGGCTGAGACATGAACATGTGACAGGGCCCTTGCTGTTGGCCTTGACTTTTGTGCAATTTTACAGCTCAAGTCTCTGCTCCTTGGGCACCCCAAATTCCCATCGACTCAGATCAGGTAGGAGCTGGCCCAGGCTCAGCCCTTGTCTTCGGCACTCACAGTTCCTGAGGGAAAGATGCCTGGCTTCAAGGGGTGGATGGATCCCTTGCACTAGACTCCCTCAGACCTAAGCCCTGGCTCTGCACTGAGGCCTCCCCCTGTATTTAGCTGCATCTCTGAGCCATCTCTGCAGCAAGAGTCTCCCAGCTCGGCCCGCAACCTGGCCAGGCTACACAACCACCCTGAATGCTCTTCTGTCAGCATTGTTGCATCTACACCAGGGGCTTTGCTGGCAGAGTTGTCGGCTGGGGCGGGGGCGTGATTTTGTAATGCAAACTAATCATAAGTCGTTCAGGAACAGGGTTCAGCTAAACCAAAATAAACCACCCTTAAACCAAAGTTAGCATCTACACATGGTCTGCATTGGTTTAACTAACCCAGTTTGCACACAGACCAGGCCTTGGTGTTTCCAATCATTTTAGCCTCTTTACCAAGGCAACACATCTCTCCCCCGACCCAGCCCTCCGGCTCTGGGGACACCACCAAAGCCACGCTGCATTGAGCGGACTCACCTCCAGAACGTTCTTCTTGCTGGATTTCTCTTTGGGAGCCCAGGACACGGCAGCCCCCCGCAGATCCACAGTATGCTCGGGTGTGGTCAGCATGGCAGGGTGTTTCTGGGGGAAGGAAAGAGGATGGTCATGCCCCGGGAGATAGGAGCAGAGCAGTGAGGCTATATGAGGAGAATGTTTGCTCTACGTGGGCTATAAAACCAGCCGTTTGGGCTGGGCTCCCATGTCTGTCCATGGCATTTCCACCGGCTCAGAGCTGGGCGTGGGCAGACTGAGGCAGGTACAACCAGTGCTGTTCTGCCCTCCTGCCATCGCCCCTCAGGTGTGTGTGTATAAAAAGATCTTCTACACTTTCCACAGGATGCATCCGATGAAGTGAGCTGTAGCTCACGAAAACTTATGCTCAAATAAATTGGTTAGTCTCTAAGGTGCCACAAGTACTCCTGTTCTTTCTACACACAATGTGGCTGCGGGTACAAAGGGAAGCCCAGCCCAGTGCCAGACCCAGCACAAGGTGGCTAGAACCTTGGATGAGAGGACCCTGATCGGCTTCTTGTTCCATCTGAACTGGCAGAGGGCAACCCCTCCTCACTCCGATTGCCATGGGCCAATGGAGACAGGCCCAGCAGGAGTCAGGCCAAGCCATGGGAACACAGAGTAGGGGTTAGAATCTAGGCCTTCTGGCTCCCAGCCACCGAGCGCCTCTCGCAGGACACCTCGCCCAGAGTCAGCTGCACTGAAGCAAGCCGATCAGAGGTTAAAACGGTTTCGTTCCATTGGCGTAGACCAAAGGATTCAAATGCTGGTGGCTCAGAGTGCTGATCAGGCCTGCAGCATATCTGCTACAACACCGAGCCCAAGCAGGCAACGATCATGAGTCAGGCTCCAAAACAACCCTCTGATTGGCTTAAAAACATGAATTTAAAATACTACTGCTACGGGGTGTTTTCCTTTGCCTCTGGGTGCTGGAGCCATTTGGGACTGTGGTTCCCAGCTTTTTCTCCACAATCCGAGAGTAGAAACTTCCTTTTTTAAAACTGAAAGCTGAAATTCTCACCTAATTAGGGTGACCAGACAGCAACTGTGAAAAAAGGGGACGGGGGTGGGGGGTAATAGGTGCCTATATAAGAAAAACTCCCAAAAAACGGGACTGTCCCTTTAAAAATGGGACATCTGGTCACCCTACCCCTAATCACATTTGCAGGAGTTGGGGCTTTAAGAAAAACATCAAAGATCACGAGACCTAGGATAAAGCCACGAGAGGTGCCAGAACTCTCTCACCCTCTGCAGCATTGCAGCTTTCATTAGAAACAAACCACCATAGTTTACCGCTCGTGGTTGCAGCGTGAACCACCCCAGCATAAGCAGGGTGTGACTTTGCAGGGATGTCTGCAGAAAGCCTGAAACAGCTCAGAGAAGAATGAACTCTGCCGGCGCCTAGTAATCACATCAGGGAGAGGGTCTAGGGGTACAGCTCAGTGAGGACAACTGACTTGTCATCGTTAACTATTTAATTTGTGCCTCCTGCTGAGGTCACTAGGAGACCTGCATGCACGGATGGTCATGGGCCATAACTAAAGATGTAATTCAACCCTCCCCTGGACTGGACACCGAGATTGCCACGAGTATTTCTAAGACTAGGGCAATACTAGAAACTTTTGCCTGGATAGCAATAGCAGGCAGGGGTGCAATATTTTTATGACATTTTAATCCGGGCAAAAACCCTAGCGTGGACACAGTTATACTGGCCAAAACGTCCTTTTGCTGGGAGAGCTCATTCTGAACTGGTATAAACTATACCAGCAAAACCACACTTTTGTTGATGGAAGCTGCATCTCCCCTATAACTGCGGCTAGAGGAGCCTAGAGCTAAATACTAGTGGGGGCAGAACTCGCATCCGAAGCAATCTGGGTGAGGAGGGGGCGACAGGCTAGGGGCCAGCACAGAATGCTCCCATAAAGGTGAGGAATGTCCCTTCCTGGATTCTCTCTCTGGTACGTCAGTAATGCTGGCATTGGGCACATGGTTATTGGTTTTGTGTCGGGGGGCCAGGGCTCTGGTGTGCATGTGGTTTGCTGGGTTTTTCTAACAGAACACAGCTTTCCACTGGAAAATGTCAGTGAAATAACCAGGCACTTTAATCCCCTGTGGAATAGCAAAGAGTCTGTCTGCTCCAACCTTGTGGGCTGGGACTTTCCACAGAGCAAGTGTACGTCGGGAACTAATCCGGAATAAGGGAGGGTTTGAATTGCAAGAGCAATATTTATTTCTGATTAACTCCCTGTACGGACTCTCTTATTCCGGAAGAAGAGGGCCTTTTCCTGGGTTAGCTTAATCCACCTCCAGAGTTACATTTCTATTCCACAATTGCTCTTCTGGTCAGTTTCCCTAGGGCTTGTCTGCCTATGGCAGTTAGGGACTCAAATCCCATTAGATTTCAGTGGGGATTTGGCACCTTATTCCCTGAGGTTCCTTTGAAATCCCAGCCCCCATAGTCCACCAGTCAGGAAATTGCATCAGGCATTTCAGTGGACTGAAGGGCTCCCCAGATGCATAATTTTTATTAATTCCCCCCCCCCCCCCCCACGACATGAGTACAGCTGTCCACCCTGGTTGACCCTCAGCAACAGAGTTTGCAGGAGTAGGCGTGGGGCCCTAAAGAGTTCCCCGCAGCGTGCGTGGATGTTGACGTTGCTGCGTCTGGCTAGGGGCCTGCTTGGGGCATGGGGCTCCCTGCAGATACATTTCTTCTCTTGCCCTCATTCTCTTCCCCATGCTGCAAAATGCTGCCAAATGTGTTGCAAGCCCACATCAGCCCTGAGCTGCATGACAACGCCCACCAGCGCTGCGAGCAGCCTTCCCTGTTTCGAGCGGCTCTGACCACAGCTCGAAGGCCACGCGAGGGAGTTCTGGGTTTCCTTTGTCGCTGGTGGTAATTTACTTGCATCTCTTATTATAAACACTAACCTGGGAGGGGGAAAATAGCCCTTGCAGAGCAGCTCTGCCCCTGCCCCGTCACTCCACTAGCATCCATCGCCTAGAAGGGGTCTGGGAGCCACATGGGGGGGGGGGGGGCTTTTTGAATGCAAGCCACATACTCTAGGGAATGTCACCCAATTTCAGATTCCAGAGCAGGATTCAGCTGGTCAAATCGACTGACAAAGCTCTGCTTTGAGAAGGGGGTTGGTCTAGATACCTCCTGAGGTCCCTTCCAACCCTGAGATTCTAGGATTCTATGGTCCCACTATTTTCAGGGTCAACTGGGAGACAAGTCAGCCAGGCCCAGAGGCTGCTTGCACACTTTGCTCCTTGCAGAAAGCTTGCTTGGTACCCGGGAAGCAGCTCCTGCAGGGTGATGAAGGAGGGAGGGTACAAGCCAGGGAAAGGTGGGGGTGCATGGGGAAGGGCCAGGAAATTGTTGTGCTGGTGAGCAGCCTGCAGCAGCTCCCAACCTGGGCCTAGCAAGGACAGTAGCCAATGGCTGGCAACTCACCAAGCTGCTGGAGGACAAATGTTTTGACTCCTTAAAAAAGAAGGTCAAGATGCCCCCCTCCAGGACGGTCCAGGACGAGCTCCAGTTCTTCCTGGGGGAGGAATGGTGAGGAAAGCATTAAACCCAGATACCGGTTATGCTGGCAGGACCCTGTTCCCATGCTGCCAGCTGAGGAAGGGAAGGTGTGGGGCAGCCCTACGCATGGCACAGCCCCTTCCATCAATGGCCTCCTCACTTGCTAAGGAGACACTGGTTCCTTCAGTGCTGGTTGGTCTGGGAGTCCTATGCAAAAATCCTCCTCCCCGCACTTGGAGCTGTACACAGGGAGAAGTGCCGAGTTTGCTGGTCTGTGGCCAGATGCTGGCGCAGCCCTCTGCTGTCTGGAAGGGGAGGGGAGCCAGCTGGGGAGGGGAGATTAGACCCAAATGAACGTTGTCTACCTAACCCTGCATCCCACTGCAGGCTGCTCAGGCTAGGGGCAGGGAGCTCTTGGCAAGTTTGCTCAAAACGTGAATGTTTGCAACAGCAGGTGCATAGATTTCAAAGCCAGAAGGGACCATTATAATCTTGTCTGACCTCCTGCATAATAGCTGGGAGCTGTTCTCGGTTCTGGCATCCCCAGGACTGCCCGTGGGCCCCTCTGGTGAGCTGGGATACTGCAGCCCTCAGGCTGAACCGGGGTGTCTTCACCGCACAGCTAGTCTGGGGGATCGGCACCGGGTGTGAGCAGCCAGGCTGCAAAGCCCTGCCGGGGCCTCAGTGGTGCTGCGCTCCCCCATGCGTGTCACTAGGATTTCAGGGGGGCAGCCCCCAGTTCTTTGTGCCACACTACATTGAGCTGCTCTCGGATCCTCTGCCCTTGTGGGCACACAGGAGGGAATTGTGGGAAGGCACTGGAGGGCTGCAGTGGTTTAGCCTCTGTCCTCACTGCTGTGCGTGCAGGTTACCAGCCCCAGGGAAGGCAGACCCAGGGATCTAACCAAGGCCCACAATGGGCCAGCTAAGCCGAGTTGAAACCTGCACCCCACTTGGGCATAGGAGTTGTGTGTGTGGATGGGACAGGGGTAAGCGCCCAGGATAACTCTGCACTGAAGACAAACCCCTGGACAGAGCTTGTACTGGGGGAAATTGTCCCCTAGGCAGCTCCGTGACTGTCCTGGCCCCTGGAGGATGGTGCAGTGCTGTATATGGGCCGTAGCTGGAGAGCAAATCCCTCCTCAGTCTCATCTTGGAATGGAGGCTGGATCTTGCCAAATTTGGAGAAATTTGCAGAATGCATAAAAAATTGTGGCAACACCCTCAAAGAGCGGGATTGGCTGAGACTTTCCTAGTTTAGTCTCCCTAGCTCAGGTGTGTCCAGGGCCCTCCTCACTCTAGTATCTGAACAGCTCTGTGGGGTACGGCCAGGGATGAGCTGCCAAAATCTTAACAACCGGTTCCCGCCTCACCCCATGAGGGGGTCGTGGCCCACTCCCTGGGACTGCGTTACCTAGGGAGGTGGTAGAATCTCCTTCCTTAGAGGTTTTTAAGGTCAGGCTTGACAAAGCCCTGGCTGGGATGATTTAACTGGGAATTGGTCCTGCTTTGAGCAGGGGGTTGGACTAGATGACCTTCTGGGGTCCCTTCCAACCCTGATATTCTATGATTCCTGCCCCATCCAACCCCCCACATTCCTTGACGCGACCCCCCACCCGGGACCCCTACCCCATCCACCCCCCTCCCCTGTTCCCTGACTGCCCCCAGAACCAGGCAGGAGGGTCTCATGAGCCATCATAGTGGGTGCCCAGCCCGCCCCACCCCTAAGAGCCAGAGGGACCTGCTGGGGGGCGAGGTGGGGAGTCCTGGGGCAGCTCCCAGGAAGCATCCGGCAGGTCTCTCTGGCTCCTGGGGTAGGGTAGCGTAGCTGGGGGGGGGGGGAACAGGGGGAGCGGCCGCTCCCTCCACTGATCACATCAAAAGTGGCGCCTTAGGCACCGACTCCGTGGGTGCTCTGGGGCTGGAGCCCCCACGGGGGAAATTTGGTGGGTGCAGAGTCCCCACCGGCAGCTCCCCACCCCGCCCCATGCCCGGCCCCAGCTCACCTCGCCTCACCTCCACCTCCGCCCCCGAACGTGCTGCCCCGCTCTGCTCCCCCCAGGCTTCCTGCGAATCTGCACGGAGTTGGTGCCTAAGGCACTGCTTTTGGCCGGTTGTTAAATTTAGAAGCCCTCACAGGACAACCGGTTCTAAAAGGGCTTCTAAATTTAACAACTGGTTCCAGCGAACCGGTGCAAACCAGCTCCAGCTCACCACTGCGTAGGGCTGTCAGCCCTCTGCACACATGGAGAGACACAGGGAACCCGTTGACACTGCCGGCGGGGGGGACTGCAGCACGCGTAGACAGACCCAAGCTACCTCTAATCTAGCTAGCGCAGGTACCAACAGCAGCGAAGCCCAGGGAAGAAGAGACTTCTGTGCGCCCTGTACAATCCCACCCGTACCCTGAGCACTGGCTTGAGTGGCTCACAGCACTGGAGAACACACTGCTGCGGCTCGGTTGCTCTCGGCACTTGGGCTAGCGAGATCCAGGCTAGCTTGGCTCTGGCTGTGCATGCTGCAGTCACCCCTGGTTGCAACACAGCGACACTGAGTGACCTGACCCAAGATCACACAGGAAATCTGTGACAGAGTGGACTCCTCCCGTCCCAGCGGTTAATATCGTGAACACAAACAACTTGTTAGTGACAGAACAAGCAAAACAACCCCCAGCCCCCCCAAACCTTAAAACCAGGGAAATAAGAAGTTATGGGAAAAGGCTCCTTTATCCCTTGCCACCTCCATACTGCCCTACCGCACGGCTAGCAACACACTGCCAGGCGCCCAGAGGCTTTTGCTCCTGTCTCCAACCATACCCCGCAGCAGCACGTCCCCTGGATTCATTCAACTCTCCGCCTTAACAGCCACCTCAGAGCTCCTGTATCAACAGATCGGCACATCTGACTCATGCAGCCCATGTGTTTGGAAAGCTCTTCTGCCTTAACACAGCCCAGGCTGCACTGAGGCTGTGCTGGGGCACAGCAATTAAGTCAGCTTCCCCGTGGGGTTCAATTCAATCTCTCCTACCCCCAGATTGTCCAGGGAGCCGCCCTGCCCTGGTCCAGCCAGAGCCCTGGGGAAGCTGTGCAGGGGGAAAAGCGCTGTTCCCTCAGCCCCACTGCAATGTCACCTGCTTGGTCAGGAGGCTAGAATGGTAGCAGATTGCCCAATGAGTATGCTCAGCATGAGGTCACTTACAGCTTTATCCTTTTCCTCTGTAAGCCTTTGCTGCGAATGCAGACCGGACCTCAGTTAGGACCAGCCACGGACCAGCCACACCCTCCCAGAACAGATTTAATCAGTTGCTTATGAGATACTTGGAGCGGAACAGCCTCCTGGTTAGTAAGACGCCACTGTGCACTTGTCCGCACAGCTCACCCCCTGGGTCACAATGGGATTGAATGGGTGGGCTGCAGTTGCACCATTCATGGGCAGCCATGTCATGAGACGGGGAGCTGCCCATGCGAGTCACTGGGTGAAAGCTCTGGCCTGAGTTGTGCAAGAATTGAGGCTAGGTGATGGCAATGGTTTCTTCTGGCTTTAGAAATCTCTGACTGAACAATATGCACTCCCAGGAAAACAAGAAGTGGGGGCTTACAATCTGCCTCCAGCACTGGGGCTGTGTGCTGGGGATGCCCCAGCACCGGGGGAATGAGAGCTCAGAGTTTAGCCTCGTTATAGACTCAAGGTGCTCCATCTATGTAGCTTAACAAGGAGAAGGTGAAGGGGTGACTTGATCACAGTCTGCAAGTACCTACATGGGGAACAAATAATGAATAATGGGCTTTCAGTCTAGCAGAGTAAGGTCTATCACAAGCCAATGGCTGGAAGTTGAAGCTAGACAGATTCAGACTGGAAATAAGGTGTAAATGTTTAACAGGGAGGGTCATTAGCCACCGCAACAAGTTACTGAGGGTTGTCAGTGATGGAGAATCACTAACACAATTTTTAAATCAAGGTTGGATGTTTCTCTAAAAGCTCTGCTCTGGGAATTATTGTGGGGAAGTTCTCTGGCCATTATCCAGGGGTCAGACTGGGTGATCACACTGGTCCCTTCTGGCCTTGGGATCTAGGAGTTGACACAGTGAGTTGGACTGCGAGTTCCCCAGCACTGAGCCAAACAGGATGAGAGCAGCGTTTGCTCTGTGGCAGGCCAGCGTGTTGGAGGGCTGCCCTGGTGCTTCTTGCCACGCTGAGACTCTCTTACCGTAATCGCTTTCCTTTATCAACTGTTTTTGTCCGGTAAAGAACTCCAGCCTTGTCCAGGCTTTTGAACTGAAATCAAAGACAAGTCAGGGTTTACAGCCGCCCTGCGAGCATTTCCCAAGGGAAACCAGCTTTCAGACAGCTGATCATCAGCACCACTGCTGGAATGGCCACAATGCGCCATTCGAGTAGGGACAGGGCCTGCCCTGGTGCCATCTCCCTCCCTGCCCGGTAAGCACTGGGAAAACACCCATGGATTTTCAGTTGGGCATCTGGATCACAAGCTCACCAGGGCCCTATTTCAGGAAGTTTTCGGAGCACACACTTAGTTGGAAGCCCACACGAGCACGCCCATTGAAATCCACAAGGTGACCCACGCGCTTCAAGTCAGGCACATGCTACAGCACCTGCCTGACGCGAGGCCCAGCGGCTGCCTGCTGTTGGAGTGGGGTCAGGAGAGGAGAGGAGAGCAGGAGGGTTGTGGAACAGACTGATTAACTGAGCAAATCCCGGAGCTGTTCCTGGCCTAGGGAGCTGCCTTCCGCGAACACCCCTCTCAGACTCAGGCGCTGCTGATCCCTGCAGATGTCCTTTATGGTCACGATCGCTCAACAGCTACAGTACCCCTTGAGTTAGCCAGCCTGGGCCCTACAACAGCTGCCCAGCCCCGGCCATGCAGGTGCCACCCCCACAGGGACCCAGGCAGGTGAACAGAACCTGTTGGGGAACGGCACCAAAGCCCAGAGTTAAAGTCAGGTCTGCTGACGGATCCAAAGGAGCCAGCACAGGTGCATGCCCTGCCCATGACCCCATCAGCAAAATGAGCCCAGCCATCTCCCTCACCTTCTCCTCTTTCTGGATGAGGATCGCTGGCATGCAGTTGTGCCAGCTGGCAAAGGGGCTGCTGTCCTGGCTGGACCCGCTGCTCGCTCTCCGGTGACCTCCTGGCACAGAGACCTGAAAGTGGATACTAGTTAGTCACAAACCATATTTATCACTAGTGCTGAGAGCTCCAGCCAGCAAACCCCATTGTGCTGGGAGCTGTACACACAGAGTAAGGGACAGCAGAGAACTTCCTCTGAACACACCAAAGTTGGGAGGGGAAGGGACAGAAGCAGCCGAGAAGCAGGGGCTCACCCAAGGTCACCCAGCAGGGCAATGCTGGGAATAGAACCCAGGTCTGCCACACGCCAGGCCAGTGCCCTGGCCACAAGACCATGTTGTCCTCCACTTTCCTGGCACCTCCTCTGTGCCCTCTGGCATCACTCTGCTGCCTGGAGTGAATCACCCCTGACCAAACGTGGCAGCAGGCAAAGCAAACCCACCATGCCTAGCCTTCATCTTCATACCGTAGCTAGTACCTGATGGCTCAGAGGCTAGTCCCTGGCCAGCGTGAGAATTTCTGTGAGGCTCAGGGAACAGCCTGTGGCGTGAGATAGGACTGCCCTGAGCTTAGCAGGGAGAAACCCCGATATCACTGGCCAGCCCATTCTCCAGCCCAGCCTCATGGCCCCACGAGCCAGGCGCCTGGCAGGGGAAGGAGGGTTTGCTTTAAAAGTGTCTGCCACCAGCTCCGCTGAGCAGGCCCCGTGCCGACGCTGCGGAACAGTGCTGGGGTGGGGCGGGCTCACCTCGGCACAGCCCCTTCCTGGGTGGGGGAATACCAGTGTTTGCAGGGAGCCCTGTATCCCCCCCAAGAGAGGGGGCCAGCTCCACCTCAAAGCTTCCATGGAGTGCAGCTGCCTTTTCTGCCTGGCCAGCCTATTTAAAGCCACCCCACCCTTGAGGGGCTCGGAGTTACTTTGCTTTCCAGCCCTCTCGTAGGCCTGGTCGCTGCAGCGGGGTGGCACAGCTGTAATCCCAGAGCATGGACTGGCTGCCCTGGGGTGAAACGGGGCTTGCGCTGGGGCAGCTTGGAACTCAAGGTTAGGTAGAGCCCCAGACTAGGTGGTCTCTGGGGCAGGGCCCATGTTTGGTACGTGCACGTACAGCACCAAGCACAGGGGCCCAAGACCTCGGGCACCACCACTGCTCTCGCTCCATCAGGGGTTCTGGCCTTGCCGTGGGAAGGTTCTCTGGGCTGGGCCATGCAGGACGGACGGGAGGGTCAGCACAGTCCCTTCTGGCCTTGAAACCCACGAACACACCTTTGGCAGCAACAAGATGCTCACCCTTCTCCTCGCCCAGCCCTGCTGCCCCAGAGCTCTGGGTCTCCTGAGCATCAGCCCTTTAATGCTGGGAATTCCCCAGCCGTCGCCCCTGAGACTCCTCTCAGCCCTCTCCCCCTGGCTCTGCACCTACACCCCTTCACTTCTACCGAGCCCGCTGAACTCTCTCACTCCCCTCCCTGCCACTGGTGCCCACCCGGGCTCCCCCCAGCACCTGCTTCCTTTGTTCCTGCCCCCTCACTGCTGAGCGCCTCTGGGGAAATCCAGCACTTGGGTGGACTCGCCCACCTTCCCATCTTCCCTGGGGAGCAGCTCTGTGCCCCACTGGGACACCAGGCCAGTCTGTTCTCAGCCTCTCTCTTCAGGTGCCCCTCCACCACCTCTGCAGCCCGGGGGCTTGCCAGATCATTCAAAGGGCAGGTGGAGTCTCCAGCACACGTCATCCTCCCCTTCCTTGTGCTGCCCCAATGCCCCTTCACTCTCCCCATTCCACTTCCACCCCGACTCCTCCCCAAGACCCATCAGGCTCCATTTCCTCCTCCTTTCAAACACCGTACATCCTGCCTGGCCCTCGTCTCCCTCCAATGACTCCCACCCCCCCACCGGCTCCTCGCCAGGGCCACGCTTCGTACCGTGTCCGAAGTGAAATGGTCAGGGTAGAAGGCTTGCCCCTCGGGGTTGTTCTGGCTGCACCAGCCCGGAGAGGGGCTCAGCTCCGCTGAGTGCCTGGGGGATCTCCCCGGCAGAAGGTAAGGGTAGGTGCTCTGCTCGTAGGACCCCACCGGGGAATAGTCCTCCTCCGGGTAACCGTCCAGCTCCTCGGGGGACAGATCCGGATAGTCCGTTTCTGGAGTTGGCGGCTGAGAACATGAGAGATCACTTCTGTGCACCCCTCCTCCTCCCACATGCTCCCTGTGCCCCACCTCGGTGAGCTCCCCAGACCTCCTCGCAGAGAGGAGAGAACCCAGCAGGATTCTCCTGCGGTTCCCTGGATCCTGGAGATCCCCAACACCTCCCCCTGGTTTATTCCCCAGACCACCACCCAGAATCCACCCTGCCCAGTCAGCTCTGTTCCATGCTGCACCTCACCAAATCCAGCCATCACCCGCACTCTCCAGAGCTACTGGCTCGGGCTCCCCCTTGTTCCTCCCTCCTGGACCACCCAGCTTTTCTCTCACTCCTGCTCCTCCTGGTGGCTCACCCGCTGGTCCATGGGTCTGTACTGTGCAATTGCGGGCTGCATCTCCTGAGTGCTGGGCTCGTCTGTAGCTGGGGGCGGTTCCCACGATGTCTCACCCGTTACTGAATTATAGAAAAACACCTGGCCGCTGGCGTCATCCACATACTGGCCCCATTCGGCCACCGCGGGGCATGGGACAAGAGACGGCGAGGGAGAGGGAGCAGGACTCACTCCATCTTCTGGGCACCCGAACGGGGAATCCCAGGTGGTCTCGCCCGTCACTGAGTTGTAGTAGAACAAGTGCCCGCTGCCCGTGTCCGTATGGGTCTCCCAGTCCGCGAGGACGCTGCTAGGGCAGCGCTGGGGCGGGGAGGGGTCAGTGACTGCTGATAGCTGCCGGAGCTCCTGTATGTTCACATACACCGGGGTGGGGTTCTCCTCCTCCTGGCAGGCCTGGGGAGAGATCGGGACTACAGTCTGTTAGGCAGCTGACAGTGTCAGGCTGGATTTGGGATGGCAGCACCGGGCGGGAGGTGACGTGGGTGGGGTCTGGGCAGGGATGGCGAGAGCATTCTGGTCGGACTGTCAGGAATGCGCTGGCCTCGATGGGGAGAACGGCCAATGGAGCCAGGGTTGCTGGGAACTCATGGCAGGGCTCTGGCCACCAGAGGGACATTGCTGCACTGTCAGGCCAGGCTCCCTTCCAGGGCTGCTAAGCCCACCTGTCCAAAAGCCATGAGCCAGGCCCCAAAAGTCATGAGTTTAAAAGATAATAAATACTGCAGCCCGAGGACCTTTTGGGCTTTGAGCCCTTGGAAGTCATAGAATCATAGAATAACAGAGTTGGAAGGGACCTCTGGAGGCCATCTAGTCCACCCCCTGCCCAGAGCAGGACCAATCCCAACTAAATCATCCCAGCCAGGGCTTCGTCAAGCCTGACCTTAAAAACTTCTACCACCTCCCTAGGTAACGCATTCCAGTGTTTCACCATCCTCCTAGTGAAAAAGTTTTTCCTAATATCCAACCTAAATCTCCCGCACTGCAACTTGAGACCATTACTTCTTTTCCTGTCATCTGCTATCACTGAGAATAGTCTAGATCCATCCTCTTTGGATCCACCTTTCAGGTAGTTAAAAGCAGCTCTCAAATCCCCCCTCATTCTTCTCTTCTGCAGGCTAAACAATCCCAGCTCCCTCAGCCTCTCCTCATAACTCATGTGTTCCAGACCCCTAATAATTTTTGTTGCCCTTCGCTGGACTCTCTCCAATTTCTCCACATCCTTCTTGTAGCGTGGGGCCCAAAACTGGACACAGTACTCCAGATGAGGCCTCACCAATGTCAAATAGAGGGGAACGATCACGTCCCTCAATCTGCTGGCAATGCCCCTACTTATACACCCCAAAATGCCATTGGCCTTCTTGAGAACAAGGACACACTGTTGACTTATATCCAGCTTCTCGTCCACTGTCGCCCCTAGGTCCTTCTCTGCAGAACTGCTACCTAGCCATTCGGTCCCTAGTCCGTAGCGGTGCATTGGGTTCTTCCGTCCTAAGTGCAGGACTCTGCACTTGTCCTTGTTGAACCTCATCAGATTTCTTTTGGCCCAATCCTCTAATTTGTCTAGGTCCCTCTGTATCCTATCCCTGCCCTCCAGCGTATCTACCACTCCTTCCAGTTTAGCGTCATCCACAAACTTGCTGAGGGTGCAATCCACACCATCCTCCAGATCATTAATGAAGATATTGAACAAATATCTGGTCACGTTTTCCAGCTTTCCTCTGCCTAGGAACTCACTCTAATGTCAGAGAGCTGAGATCTCACATGACTCCAGGAGCTGGGGCTTTAAAAACCAAATAAACACCGTCACAAGACTCATGATAGAATTGTAACCATTGGCAACTCAGCCTCCGCAATCCCGAACTCCACCCGTGGGAAAGAGCCTCACTTCTGTAACACATCTTCATGGGGGCTTGCCCGGTTTTGCTCCCCGGCCCCACTGCTGCACCAGGCTCTCCCCAGGCTCCCCCAGGAAAGCCCCAACACAGCAGTTTTGGAGCCTTCACTGACAGCCCCACACTGCCAAGCCATTCATTCAGCCCCTCCAGTGCCAAGCAGTCAGCCCCCCACCTGCCTGCCCCCCCAGTGGGCATCACAAGCTCTACGTCACCTTCTCCCGGCCCCCCAGGGTGGAGGTGGCATTGCCAAAGCGTGCTGCAGCCTGGCTATCCCTGCTTGGCACAGCTGCCCTTGGGGGCATTGCAACCAGTGGAGGAGCTCACACTAGCCCCTCAACACTGACAACATGCTGTGTACGTATCTGGGGACAAAATAATGACACTACAAAACCCCTTCTACAGAAGGAAGATCGATAAAGTCACTAGAGATACAGCTGGGTAGAGATCCATTATTGTGAGTACACAGGGCAAAAACTACACAGTGCCATACCTGCACTTGAAGTCTAAAAATAGTGGCATGGTAAGGCTGTGTAAAAGCAGTGTATTGCACACAACAAAAACCCAGCATCCGCTCCTCTAATTGGGCTGTGTTCCTATGCATGAAAGGGAAGGGAAGAAGAGGAAGGATGGCCCAGGGGTTAGAGCCCTCACTTGAGAGAGCTCAGTTCAATTCCCTTCCCTGCCACAGACTGTGTGATCTTGGGCAAGTCACTTAATCTCTCTCAGCTCCCACCTGCAGCAGGGGGAGAATAGCCTTTTTGCCTCATGGGGGGAGGGGAGCATTGTGAGGTGCTCAGATAACCCGGCAAGGGGTCCCATGCAGCAGACTGAGGCGGGACCAGCATCCTTTTGTGTTTGTACAGGTTTCAGCAAATGGATTAAAAAAACCCCAACCAACCAACCTGCACAATTGTAGTTAAAGCAGGGTCACTTTTTTGGTGCCAATAAGCCTAAAAACCAGACTTCTTCTTTAGATATCTAGATTTAATCATCCAAATTTGGACTTTTTGGCCCAATTTAATGGAACATGAACAATGTCCAGTTCCCTCTGGAAAGTCAGGGAATGCACAACCTCAGAACATTGTCAGCTTTCTGATAAATCCCATTTCAATTGCAGGACATTTTAAATTTTCCTACTACAAGCATAGAAAGCTTTCCCTCATGCCCCTGTTGGCGTTTCTAAATGTCATCTGAGCAAGAGGGAAGACTGGCTTATTGACTGTACCAGGAAACTAACTGGCTTCAGGTAAACTGCTGTCAGGTGCCCAAAGGAAATGAGCTGATAAGACAGACAAGTTGTTTTCTCCTTGTGAGCTCTGCAGTTCTAGGATCGTAAATGTTATTGGAGCTATAATGGGTACAAAGTTTTCACACAGAAACACAGAGAATCAATTGCCCTGCAGCATCTCCCACCCATCTCCCACGGTACACACACACAGAGCCAGCAGTCTCAGTTGAGAAGCCAGCCAAAAGGGAGGCAAGGAAACTGAGACACTCAGCAGGGAGGTGACTTGCTCACACTCACACAGGCAGAGCCAGGAACAGAAGCCACCTCTCTCACCTGGCACCCTGTCCCCATCCGCGAGACCAAACTCGGAGGCTGCTCAAGCCAACCTGCAGCCCTCAACAGAACTTCAGTGTGATGCCCCCTCCTTGGTGCCGGAATCTTTGCCCCCCACATCTGAGAACCTGAACTCAGCAGAGGCGTGACAAGGGGGGGCAGGTGCCCCCCTTGACCACTGACTGAAGCTGGGAGGTGTAACGGTGTTGCCCCTTACCTTGGCCCAGCCACCCCTCCGGCATGATGGAAGGGCAGCTGGGCCAAACTGGAGCAGTGCTGTGACCCCATGTACCGCGTTACAATACCAGTCAGAGTTGGCCTGGTTGCCTCCCCTCCCCACTGTTGCAGTCCTTCAGGCGCCACTGCAAATTTCACCAGCCAAGCACTCAAAATAACCACCCCACCCACCTACTCCTCCCAGAAACCTGCTGCCTCTGGCAGCTGCCTAGAGGTAGAGCAGCCCCTGACCACAAGGTCCCCACTAAAAGTCCCCAGAGCAATCACTGCTTTCCCAGCCTCTCCCCTCTCTTGGGCGCTCCGTATCTTGGGTTGATTCTGCCCAGTTGAAACTCATTGAATTATTTTAGGCCCCAGATAATATTTCTCTCCAGGCCCCATTTCCCACAGTCCCCCCGTCAGTGTTGCCGGCTATATTTACCAACATGCTACCTACTTCCTCTTCCTTTCCAAACCAGTGATGGAGACAAACTACGTACAGAGTCAACATCAGTCTCTGGGGCGATTCACTGAACCCTTTGCAACGTAACACGATTCCCATCTCCGTCACCCTTTGTCACAGACCTACAGCCAAGACACTTTACTATCTGAGAGCGATTCCCTGAGCCCCTGTCGGCTGAAGCCCGCTCCAGGGTATTACAAGTGCTCCGGTCGCCTTGTCTGGCTGAGCAGAAGGATGCTGCACCCTCGGCTCAGCTCATAGAGACAGTTACTGTTCCCTGCTGAATAAGATCTATGTTTCCGCACCTGGGATGAGCTGAACAAACGCAAGGCCCTGCTCCGAGATCTGGGCAGCGGTTTAGGGGCATGGGTGTCCATCTTGCAGCCTCCGGGACCACGAAGAGGAGCGAGTGCAGGCACTTTGGCGGGCAGGAGCGTCACAGCGGCAAAGCAAAGGGAACTGGCCTGTAGCGAGAGGCCAATCGAGAGAGGAGAGAGACTTCCCCAAACCTGCCCTGATATGGGCCTGAGCCTTTCACACGTTTCCTGTTGGGGTTTGTGGGGCGGAAGGGTTGCCGTGGTTACACGAGTTTCAAGTTATGCATAATTAGTTATTTGTTGACATTTTACATTTTCTGGTGACCTGGCGGCTACGTTCATGCTTCTAAAAGTTGCTCACTGGTGGCAAAAATCTGAGCAGTAACTTCTAGGATTAGGGCAGCTCGAGAGGAAAGAGCCAACATTTAACCCACCTTCAAAGGTTTGCTTTTCTAAAGATTCCCTCCAGAGCCAGAACAGTCTCTCGTCTACAGAGAGGACTGTTAAATTCCTACCTCCCGGGAGGAAAGTGACACAAACACCATCCGGGGACTGGCAAAGAACATAGCAAATATTAAGGACTGAAAAATACCGTCATGCTCAGCTGGAGGGAAAGGATGCAGCCAGTTGAGGGCGCCGTTACTCAGCTCAGCATCCAGCCTGCAGAGGGCTCCATAACCCTATAGGAAAAGGGGCTACCATGGGGCAGCCAGGGGCATCAGCCGCGGCAGGGAGTCGGTGGCAGGCAAGGAAGCAGCCTGTGGCTGGCGGGGAACAGGAGGCATGGGGGCAGCTGCAGGTGTGAGAGCAGGATAGCGTGGATGGATGGGCCGCAGCGAGAGCGCAGACCAAGGAGCCGGCCATGGGCTGTGTGTGCTGGAATGGCTTCCAGAGGGGGCGTGGCCCTAGCACTACGTCTGGGGAGCTGCACGGAACAGAGT